GGGAATTCGATTTTTCGGAGGACATATCTAATAAAAGCGGGGGCACGGGGAGGCGGGGAAACAGGAAAGTGGGGAAACGGGAAAGCGGGGAAACGGGAAAGCAGGGAAACGGGAAAGCAGGGAAACGGGACGCTCACCAAGAGCACGCGCGACCAAAGCAAGCGCACCCGGAGCCAGCGCACTCGGAGCCAGCGCACTTGGAGCCAGCGCACTTGGAGCCAGCGCACTCGGAGCCAGCGCACTCGGAGCTAGCGCATGTGTAGTGAGTCTAGCGATACCGAGTCGCCGCGAAGCGGCGACCGGGAGCGCTAGTAGCGAAATAAAACGCTTCGAGATAGCTGAACTGTGAAGCTATAGATGAATTATCATCGCTCCCACACGTCACGAGAGTAATTCAATTTAGAATGGAGCGTGACTGTGGAAGCTCCGATTGCGGGTCGTAAATGGCGCGCACTAATAGATATTTTTCGCTCTCTCATTTCGTTTGTGAAGCGAGACGCATACATGACTTCCATCCTCGGAGAGCCACCGATGAGTGATGGGAATCACCCACTAGAATGAATTCTTCAAGAATTACGGAAAACGATACTACGCTTCCTTGTGAGGTCATCGGTTTAGTTGTTCCGATGCTCATGGGCTCGCGGTCTCCGAAGCGTTCTTCATGCAGGTAACCTCAGCACGACCTTCGGACAACAGGGGTTGGATACTTGACAGCGGACAGCTAGCAGCTCGTTAATTAAATCGAACCCACAGCCACTAGAAACCAGTCCCCGGGGCTGATCGCTCGATTTATGATTGCTTGAACGTGAATTTTTGATGGCGCACAACTCGATGTAGTCGATCTTCGTTTCGGACTGATCAGGAATTCCAGCTTTGCTCTGTTGCTCAACCGGCTACCTCATACAGCTGCGGCTGCCGCCGTTGTCGTTATCATCATCATTCTCTGATCCGAAACAGCATAAACAGAGCTACGGGAGTCTGCATGCCTCGCGAGAATGCAAATAACATCGAACGAAGCTCCGCGGAGGCGGTCTGGTCTGCGACAGAGTAAATACGTCAACTCCATAACTCATGCTCGAAGTTATGTAAAAAAGTACAAGTGTTCTCGATGTATCCCCGTACGTCTTCCCTCGTACCCAAGCTCCGAGTTCCATGCCGATTCCTCGGTAGATTCGATCCCGAAGAGAGCTCTATATGGAAAAGTGACAGAGGAACGTCCCGCGAGCCCAGGGCCACATTGGGAAGGATACATTCCCCGACCGGAGCTGTTGGCCCCCGATCGAGACAATGCGGCTCGGCAGCGCCACAGAAGATAGATGGACTGTTAGGACCGTCCGGCTATACGACGCGATGTTGCTAGAAGCTCAAAAAGAATTCGAAAATACAAGCAGTCGATAGCTCTGGGATCACATAGGCTTCATATTTTGGGAGGAACGAGCTTTCTGGGTTGGCGGACGGAAGGGAAGGGAGGGGGGCTCTCCGGTCTTCCGAAGAATTTCCGGACAGCGAAATATGATCCGCATCCCCGCTCGTCCTCGACCTGAATTTCCAATCGATCATTAACTGAAAGTGGTCAAATCAGGCACGGAATCCCAAATGAGGAATTACGAAGAGGGGCCTAGGATATATCATACCGATCGAGCATGAGAGATTTATCGGAACTTCGGTGCGGACATTGCTCACAGGGCAAGTCGACTTCGCGAGGGAGGGGAATAGAATCGCCATCGAACTAGCACTGGCCATTATTGGACCATTCGTCTAATGATTGGCGCTCCGAGACTCAGGTTCCCACCTGAATGTGATTGTGATTAGAGGAAGGATTCCCATCAGACCGACAGAGGGTTCCTGTGAAAAATTAGGGTCGAAATGCCGGCTGGAACGAGATCGACAGCCAAACGAAGTCGGCTCTTTATTCAGATTCCCGAAAGACGGAGCACGCAAGCGAGGAACATTCCTGTCCCGCTACGCGAGGCATCGAGTCTCCATCTAGAAAGCTAGCGATAAATCAAAATATGGCAATGACGTATGTTTAATAACGATCAGGAAGCGATCGGTATCCGCGATTGGGGAAACGACCCCGGCGAGAAAGTGAAATAAACAAGGAAGCTAATTTTGATCTTCAAGAAACCAGCTGTGGGCTGCCTAAGTTTCGCTGAGTCGGCCGAACGATTGGAAGGGCGGTTGAAAGGAGTTGATCCTCACAAAGCCGTGGGGTGGGCGTCGAGATAAATGACTTTGACTGGTATCCGACCTCTTTGCCACTTCATTTAATTTCGCAAAGGGTCGAGGCTTCATCATCTGAAATCCGAGCGGCCTCTCCTCCCCCTGCGCTCAAACTCCTCTTTTCCCTACAGCCAACCCTGCCGCCGCCAGCAGGGAAAATCAATGCAACTAAATTCCCTTCGGTCGCACATTTTTCCCCGAGAGAAATTTCGGTTCAATAAGTCTGTCAGCTGAGCTTTCCCTTCGAAATCGTTTTGCTCAGCAGCGAGCGGTATTGTTTGAGACGACGAGAGCGGCCACCAGCAAGCCGAAGAGCCGAGCGGCAGCATTTGTAGAGAAAGCAGTTCTGTTCATGACACGGTGGCGTCTTTCTATTTAGTTTGTTTGCGGCTATGTTTGGCCTCAGTGTTCCGCGGCAAGCAATTACGGGCCGAGATACAAACGTGAGTTCCGGGAGTGAACTCTGTGATTGGAGGAAGCGGACGATTATTCAGTCTTCGTAGCATCGGAGACAAATATTTCTCATCGAATGAGGAGGCGCTCCATCAGAGGGATGAGTCCACATTTCCGAAGACTTCTGCGTCGGGATCCCCTTTCCACAAAGCCCGCTCTGATTTGCCGTGTGTTCTCGCGTTCCCGTTCTCTTATGTACTCGAAATTATTGCATAAGGTCAGTAGGGGCTCCGGGAGCCGCAGAATCGATTCCAAGTCTCCGGGAATCCGTGAACGCGAAGCTTTGGAAACTTCGTCACGATCAAACGGAGCAAGAAGTCAGCGGGGAATTGAAAGAGCGCTGGGTGCTTAACGGAGCTCCGAGAGTCCGAACGCGGCGGTGTTCAGGAGGTTCCGCACGAGCTGCGAAGCCCTCCGACCTTGAGGAGAGCGAAGTGATTGTTACATGTGACGCGAACCAGAGATTGTATCGCATTAATCCCGGAATGTTCAGTAACTGTGATGGTGTGGGGTTCCCATCATAATTTGCGTTCGTGCTACATTTCATGACCGCGTACGTCTGATTGCTGCGTGACCCCGTATCTGTCGAGGAGTGAGCTCAGTTCCTCAGCGAGGCATCTCCGTTTCCTTCTCGGAGATTCGAATACGCTGTCGCTTGAACTCTCTGCTCGATTCCCGATGCGACATCGCGACAAACAGACAGACAAACAGGATCGTGGACGCCAGAAAAACATCAACAGACGAATAGTTCGCATTTTTCCGTGATGTCGAAAACCGAATATTCTCTGTTGCTTGGCAGAAGCTGGAGGAATGCAGGATGAACGCATCCCTAGCCGAATAGAATCAGAGTGCATTCCATACGGACGGCACGACTGAGGTCGGATGACATCTGACCTGGCGACGCCATGGGGAATGAATACGGAGTCGCGCATGAGTATCCCGCGGAATCACTGGGGCCCCTTGAGGATTTCGCTACGATTTTTATGTGAAACAGTGACCTCAGCCGTCCCGTCAGAAATACATTCGATGCTCGCTCTCAGCTGCTACTCGGCTTGATTCTCTCCAACCCTGAGATGTTGCGCGGCCCTTGATCGCAAGCTTCGCAAATCACGATAATCTCGGTCAACGATGATCATACAAAGGAGGACATGCCGCTGATCATTCATGTGTTCCTTCGTTCATTATCGCTGTCCGGACGTTTGTAACGGCGCGTCCATCATGGATGAATCGAGGACTCAGAGTATCAATCGTGAGGGGTTTCTGTGATCGAACCGAAATCAGCGAGCGATAACCGCCTCACGAGAGCATAATTCAAACTTGAGGGAGCTCAACATCGAACTCCTCTGAATCTATGTCGACGACCTCCGCCGGGAAATCCGGAAACCGGAGCGCCCTGTCCAGACCGAGAAGCTCACGATTCGGAGAGAGGATGAAGCGGAACTATGGAATGAAACTCGTGCAGCGGCATCGCTTCTTGCTCTCAGAGTCATTAAAGTATTACAATTGAGAAGATTCGAGGGCTCGCTAAGCTCCTTCTCCCGGAGGGCTGAGGGAAGTGCTCGATGACGATAAATCACGCTGAAAGCACGAGCGCTCTCAAGGATTCTTCTGAATTTCCAAGACTTCTTTCCGAACGGGTGCGTCGACAGATAATCGCTCTCTAAGAGGGGTCGGCGAGCGAACGCACTTCCAAAACTTGTTTGGATCGCGTCGCTTTGCGTAAGAGCCGACTCCCACTTAATCCCGGAGTAATACAAGAAATGGACTCGAACCTTCGGGAAAACGGCGAACGCGGAAAGGGGATTTGAGGAAGGGGCAGCTCGAAGACATGGGACGAGGTTCCTGTTTTAATGAGACGGCGAATCCCACACTTCGACGATTCGCGGATTATAGCGAGGCTTGAGTGGATCTTGATCAAGGGATGGAATCCCACCCGGAATAATCGAGGGACGGAAATCGCGATGCATGAGCTCCAGTGCGGTTATTCCTGTCCATACAGGGCACTCGATGCTTCATCGATCGATCTCGCGGGTCTGTCGGCTCGTGGTCAGATGCTTTATGTGAGCATCCGACGTATGAACCATGATTGATCCGGAGATCGTCTCCATATCTAATTGTAGAGTGTCAGATGCTCTCAAGCCCGTTCTCTGTCAATCTTCTGATTTCGATGGAAATGAACATAACAGGGATTGCACGCATCGGCTCGTGATTCTAGAAAGTTCCTGCTCACAGCTCATGGCTACTCCACATGGCATACATACATATATATTGAGTGCTGCGGTCGGGGGGAGAATTTTGATTTTTATTTTGTTTACTTTGATGGGAAGTATCAGCTCGGTTTCATCCGAAAATTTCAGGGTTTTCACAAACTACTGTTTGATTTCTGAAGCGATGGGCGATACTCCACTGAATATCGCGATTCTCGAATCGGAAAATGGCTCCGGCTTCCTCTCTGAGTTTTTTTGTTGATTCTTCTTCGCTTTCCACGCTCGAGATCCGATAAATACGCAGCAATCATTCTCTGTAGCGATGGAGCCTTCCCTCCATTGCGCATCCACAAATGAGTTCTAAGAAGGTTTTTAGGCCCGTTTAAAAATCTGAAAGTCGATCGAGATCCACGGTTTCAAAAAAAAATCCGAGGAAATCGAAGGGTATCATATTAAAGTAAACACTGAGATTGACGAAGATAAATTTTCATGGCAAACTTCGGGAGGAAACTCTAGCTCTTTTCGCTACGAAGAGGATGCATGTCGGAGCCTACGAAACCTCCTCTCGTTTTCTCGCATTGTTGACTTCGCGCGGTACGCGCTTATCTCTACACAAGGTTGGTCATCGAAGTCTTTGTCTAGAAATCGAGATGAGTTTCTTCGTTGACCGTCGACGGTAATCCATTAGTCGTGGCCGTCGAGCGGCCTCTAAAAATCTTGTTTTCCCTAATCGCTACATGGTTTCATGCCTCATCGCTCTTTTCCGAATCGTTGTTGTGTCCTCGAATCTCGCTACGCTGATTACGACTTTATGATCGGTCAAGTGAACATAACTACACACGCTTCTATAACCTCTGATTCCAGTTCGGCTGCGCGTCCTTTCTTCCATATTCGCCGGATTCTATCAAGGCTAATGGGTGATCGTGAATTCATCCTCGCTGATACTTCATTGATGCTGTCCATGGGATCGATAGTCCCAGATCTTGTTTTTTGCCGAATCTTTTGTTGTGGGAGGGGGAGCCGATGTTTAGAATTTTCGATCCTGATTTAGTGATAGGGGGCGCCAATTAAATTCGTCCTCATTTCGGTATCTCAGTCGTCTCTTTTTATATCCGCGTCTTCGATGCCATCGCTTTCTTCATCCTCGTCAGTGAACTCGGAGAATTCAGAATCTGCGTAAATGATGACGGGGAAGTCCGTATGTCCACGCTCCAACCTATAAATTAAGACCAATTCAGGAACGATCCTCTGAAGAAAGTTGTTCGAGCAGGGCCCCGTTTAATTCACGCCTAGACCCACGAAGGCCACTACGTTTCATGCTGAATTTTTCCAGATGCGCCCCATGCCGCTCTTCTGGGATCTCGGAGGGACTTCCCCCCTCACCGACAATCGCTCTGACACATAGACTTCCGTTACGGTCGAAGTTCAGGGGGTTCGAGGTTTGACTAATGTAAAACGTGGTCGACGAGCTGCTGATAACTGCTGATAAAGCCCGAGAGAAGGAAATGCAAGATTGTTTTCCAATTCTGAGAGATCCGTCCGGCGACGCGAGAAATCTAATAGGAACTCAGGGAATTCCAATACTCTCGATTCCCGACGCGCAGGTGCTGTTCAAGCGAACCAAACCCTTGTTGCTTGCTGGGGGGCGGACTGTGGACCATTCGATCGATTAGATTGCCAAGTTGGATGCTGTGCATTGAATCTCAATTTGTGCGCTGGTCGATGCGGGAATCTGTCAGTACTGAGCTGCCGTCCGCCCCGTTGTATCTCGGGTCCCCCGGGACGTCGAGAGATAGGCTGCGGTCCTTCAAGCTCATCTTCGACGTAGGGGTCAAGGGGTCTCCGTTGTTGGATATTCCCACTAAAAGAGCATCGACGCAAGGCAAAACACTCCAAGCTCCCACTCTCGCTCAGAAATTGCGAAATCCAACCTCGAGCCGGACTCGGCCCCGGGAAAAAATTCCACCCATACGACTTCGCAAGTGACGATCTGAACGAGGACCGAGGGAGAACGATGAAAAAAGGAAGAAGATCGAGAATGCGAAACCGAGTCGACTTCCGAGTCATCAGTCTTGAATCTTGGAATCGCGGAGCACTTGATCTCAACTTCCAGGAACTCCCGATCTCGACCCAGGGGATTTCGAGCTTCAGAATAGTTTCTCGACTTGGAATCGAGACGAAATGATCGCGTCGACTCCGATCTTCGTCGCCAACGGATCATTCGGACCGCGAACCGGAGAAGATGTCCAAGCGGCGGACGGGAGGAGCGAGGGAGACGGCTCAAGGGACTGGTAGAGGGTACGAAACGGGTGGGAGACCAACGGAGGGGTGAGAAATTAAATTCTTAGAAGTTTATATCAGCAAGGAGTCGCGACTGGCAGGCTCTTTCTTCCTCACTAGTAACAGAAAACGGTTCCCTGAGGGTCTATTAAGCCTGACTGATATCGTCTGTCCGGAAACCAGTCTCAGCCGGAGTCCCAGAGGGGAAAACTCTCCACTGTCGGCAACGGAGACGGTAGAAAAAATAAAGCCCAAACCCAACGGAATGTGGTGGTCGCTTCCAAGCCGATGCTTTGGGGGTTATCAAGGATCCCGCTCAGCCGGATCTTTGGAGAGTTTGAAAAGAGACGCCCACCTGGATATCTCATCGCGATTGATGAGAGTCTGGCAAAGCCTCCCGATCGCCGCATATACGATCGCCGATCGGTAATGAACAACTTCAGCGGCTCGGGGACCATGACTCGAAATATTCCATGTCGAGAGAATCCGATAAGAGCAGTCACAAGGTTTCTGGATTGGAAACAAATTAGTGGAGAGCTCCCACAGGGTCAGAGCAACCCGCCACCAATTAAATAGGATTAGATGTTGGTGACTCGGTTGTACCTATTTGCTGAGATCTGCCTAGAAGTTTCAGTCGGTAGTCTCGTTTGCGGGATTCGCCTGCTGAATAATCGGTATAGAACTCTCTGAACTCGCAATCCGAAGTCTTGACTCTGGAACTCTAGGACTGCTTGGCCTCCGAACCGATATTTCCCCAGGACCGTCGCAATGGCTCCGGTCCGCGTGGAAATCGTTCCCGAATGCTGCTTCGCAGCGGATTCTTCTCCCATTCGTGGATGGGATGAAATGAATGCTCTCAACGACGGAACCATGGAATCTGATCCGCGCGGGAACCATCGAGTCTTATCGAGCCTGGTCCCTCGAACGGATTCGGCACCACCTGCTGAGTCCATTGGCCGAAAAAGACGGCCGAAACAGTTGGAGGATCTCAATGGATCCTTCTCAACAGCTGGTGCCTCCCTCGTCACGAGAGCTACAGCTACTGCAACACCGGAAAGGCTCTCGCGCCTATTTTCAAAGCTCCATTGACGCCGCCGACATCGACTGCAGCTCCAATGAGATAATCCTCTGGAATCTCAACGGGAAGAGATGGACGAGTCGTGGAATGATCGTATCGCGCCTGCGCCCTTGGATCAGAATCAGGGATATCGAGCGTTTCCGTAGTGGTCGAGGGTATCCGTGAAGTTTTTCCCTCCTACCGTTCGATCGTACACTCACCTTGTCCTGATGAGGCGCTCAAGAACAACTTTTCTTAGCGCGTCATCGCCGATGTGGTATGCGTTAGAGCTTCTCGACGCAAAAGCGCTCGAGAAGGACACGTTTCCAGAGAGCTGAGCGTGAATCTTCGTACTCGACCGAGTTTTCAGCGGTGTCTTCGGCAACACCCTCGGTGGGGGCACTCCGTCCTTCCATGATCCATCGGGATTCAGCGGGTACATGTGCACTTCGATGCCTTCCTTTTTCGGCGGGCGACTTGCGAGTGCCTTCTTATTTTCGACCATGTTAAGGTGAGACAACTCCAAAAAATTGCCTCGCGCTCTCGCTCCAGTACGACAGGCTAGGCACTGGGGAGGTCAATTTTCACGTTGACGATCTCAATCTCATGAATTCTTCGCGGAAAAGGGGAAATCTGTTCGATATCTCACCTGGGAACAGTACCTCCGGCTTCTACAGGGAACTCTGTATACCGTATTCTGTTCGACGAATGGAGCAAGCGAGAGGAGCACAACTTCCAAACGACGCTGCAGACGATGACCGAGCTTTTGAAACCAAGACGAACTTTAAATGTTGCTTGGTGTTTACATGCGGTGAAGGGAACATGCGGACCATATGTACGTTCTTCTACTTCACGACACTCAACTCGGAAACGACTCCATGCTGTACGCACCGTCGTTTTTCGACCGTCTCCCGAAGTTGCGAAGCCAATTTTAGAGCGATGTTGTCGGTGGAAAATGTGCTCAAGGCTCTATATAGATTTTGGCTATGTCCTCTAAAGTTAGCTTGCAGATTAACAATCGTCCCGGATCGCTTTTTGAGTAACTCCGGACCGGAGACCGATGTGCATACCTCATTCTCATAGCCCCTTGTCAAAGAGATTCCTCCAAGGGGACACATCTCCCATCAAACAAGACTCCCAACTAGAATTCATCCGGGAGTAGCTCTCCGGGGTCTAGGGTCAGTCGCTGCAGGAAAAGAAACTGGAAAGACACTGAATACACATCTTCATGCCACCAGTCAGCACCAACTGCCTTACAAACGGCTTTCACATCATAGCTCTGCGACGGGCGAACGGCTTGAGGGGAGGGGGATGGGCAGCGTCTCCTTACACCTCCTGTGGGGTATGAGGCACTCCTCAGGGTTCCATAGATGGACTCGGATGTTTGTGCGAGCGGTGTCGTTCTCTTACTTATCAAGAGCCCAAGTGATCTATGTCTAAAATCGGAACAACAAAAATGAAGATCGCAGGCGTATCTTTGGTCGTGACCGAAGATTGAATTCCCGTAGGACTACGTAAAAGCATTTTCATTAATTAAGGCAGAATAAAGTAGGTTTATGGTGACTAAAATAGCTGATATTGATCTTATGCCGGTATTCTTCGATTCCCTTGGAAAATGTAAGGCCGATGCAGGTCCCATTGCGGGAAGCGGGAATATTCGTCTTATTGACTATTTCAAGATCAAATTTTTTCGCATGTAAGCGAGCAGTTTTCGTTCGTGTTTCGGGTTTTTCATATCGCAATTAAAATCACCGCATAATATCCTTTTTTTGTCCGAAGTCGGCTCTGTCGACTTGATGACTGCACTGTATGAATAGAAAAAGCCAATGATATCCTCGATCGAGGATCCCGGTGAAATGTAAACGCACAGTAAGAGGATGCGGTGTTGGCCGCATTTGATTTGCTCGTACGGTATTATCGATTGATTCGATTTTATCGAGCGTCGAGGAGTTACGAAAACACCTCATAAAAGGCTGTGGTTCGAAAAGTGGTACGGAAAACGCAACATGATTGAGACAGGAGCTAAAGGGCTAAAGGGGACCGCAATAGTACCGCACTGTGTCATGTGATTGGTTTTCCGTGTGTCTTTGGGAAAAACGTGACCGAATTGGAACCCGGTCCATAAGGAAGCGTGGATATTCATTATAGTTTATACCGGAACAGGACGAGACCGAATCATAGTTTTCTTCTGGGGAAGGACGGTCGTGAAATTTCGAAACTATTGACCATATACCACTTCCGTTGCATTTGTTTACTTCGAGGGGTCTGTAGAAAGTGCGACATAGGACGCATTCCTACGTCAAAAACTGTTGCTCGACTGATCGATGGGATGGGAGCAAGAGCTACCCGTCTTTACCCTCTTCATGAAACACGTTCTGCCGGAAGCGACGTTTAACGTGACCTGTCTACTAACTGGAGGTACTTTCAAATGTGCTCTCTTCAATTCGCCAGTCTCCTCCGCCCGGGTCGAGTTCGTTAGCGGTTTCAGACGGGTCGATCCTCGCGGCATCAAAGGATACCCTTCGTCCCCTTCGTCTCTGTTATCGGCTCCCTTTGATTGGACCCGTGTACGGAGGGGCGGAATGCGACCTGAAATCTTGAGTCTCCTCCGAGCCGGACGTCGCGCGTCGGTGTTGATAACCCACGATCAGAGTCGGTCCGTCGGTTGCCTGGGAATAATCATTTTAGAACGTCGCGACCCATTATCCAATGGCGCGAAAGCTTCCACAACTGTCGACACCTTCCTCGCCGCTTCCCTCACTTCCCGCTCAACACGTTCAGAGCTCAACGGTAAATCCATCTGGAACCCATACGTTTTACGCGCAGTGCCGGAGCAGCGGGACGCAGGATGGAAGGACGCGAGGGGAAACTTCTATTTAAAAAGTTCAGACTAGTTCATTATGGTTGACGAGCGACTCATGCTATTCTCTGTCGACCGTTAAGGTGTTGTTCCGTTTGTCTTTCGTTTTTACAACTAATGCCGCCGTATGTTTCCGTGGTTTGTATAAGAGCGGCAAGACCGGCCATATGATAAATGTTCTCGCAGCTAGTGTGCTAGCACCGTCGCCATAAACACTTCACCTCCTGTTTGAGATAGAAAAGACCTTGTCACGGAAAGCGACCTTCACGTGCCAATGTCGGCTTCCCCGAGCTCGGTGACGAAGACCTCGGCTGCCGTCGACTGTGCCGAAAGAAAAATACGGCCTGGAGCGTTGACAGTCTTCGGGTGAGATTTCTGCACGGATCTCGTTCGTATCGATGGTATGGAGTCGCGATCAATGCAATATTCAATCATGCTCTTGTTCACGCGAGACATTGCTGCTCTCAAATGGCTTTCACTCAGCCAACGCTTCACCGTGTCTAGGCACTGCATGGCCCTACGAAGAGAGTGATATATCTTTGGCGGATCGATTGGGTTCCTGCCGGTCGCATGCGAAAGAGCTCGACAGGTGCCCGGGGCTATTCCTCGCGATTCCGAACTTCGCTGGAAAATCGAAATGTCAGAAGAAGGAAGTTTCTTTCGATTGAACGATACAGACATAGGATAGGAGCGGCGTCGACAGGAGAAGATCGTAGGTTGCAAAGATGGCATCCTGAGGTTAGCAAACAATTCGATTTTAATCAGCGGGTGTGACACAAAGCACGGTCCATTACCGACGAAATCCTCGATTATCCTCGTGAGGACGCCATCCTGTTGGATGCTTAGTCATCATCAATCTGGAGTCGAAATCGAACTCGGAAGTGTCCAGGGCCATAAAGCAGTCCTGATCGGAGCTCGAAGAGTGACCTTAGTGCGGCGGCTGGAATCGCATCATCTTCAAACAAGCTCGTGAAAAGACATGCGCGAAATATACACTGCTCGCGGAAGGAACCGAGAGGCACTATCCTCGATTTGCCTCACGATTCGTGGAGCTCGCAGGAGTTCAAACGAGTTGGGTGCTCGAGACAGGAGGTGAGGACTGAGCTCATAGCTCTTGCCATAAGGCGAGGATCGATCACCTCTCATGCCGGGTTGGTTCGAATCCAAATTATCTTTGAAGAATAGACTCTGACCGGGACGCGCCAGACTTCGGAACGAAGCATGACGCTGAGGGTTGAATCCTGCCCATAGATCTCGGCGAAATCTTCTCTCTCCTTCTCTCAGCAGCGTTAGTGATGGGTACGGGAGAAGTTGGGTGAGTCCGGATTTCTCATTTTAGCAGGAAGTTCGACGGGCCCCAGGGAAGTTCACATCGATTTCTGAAATCCGTAGTGGCTCTCATTCATCCCCGGTTTCGCGTTCTCCTTACAGCTCATTCAGGTTTCTCCGCCCTCCGCTCGCTTTATTTTCTCCCGTTAAAATTGGACGAAATTGACTATCGACCCGTAGCTACACCAACGAGTTCCGTCGCCCAGCGGCTCGCTTGCTCTACACGATTATGTTTGCCCGACGACGCCGCTAATCGACGAGTTAACATGCTCGAGTTTATACGCGTTCTCGACGTCAAAGCAGTGGAGCGCGGATCGGGGGAGTCCCGAACAATGGCGGAAAAATTCAAAGAGTAATTGCTCGATCTCGAACTTTATCAGCGCTGGTTCCCGCTTCATGCGTTTGGGTCCAGAGGACTGAGACGGACAAAGGGCTCGTCCGAATCTTCGGCGGTGAAAGCTCGGGAAATGCCGTCGAGTGGCCGGAAAAAATCCCGTGAATCTCGCCGTTGGCTTTTTCTATTTACATGAGACAACTTCCGATGAGCCGACTGTCCCTCGCTCCATCGAAATCTTATCCGCCCCCGCGTACAGCAGAAAACTTGGCCGGACGCAGGGGATACTCCCGGAAATATCGAGCTTTTGCATCTATTCGCTCTTACTGTTCATTATTCGTGTTCCGAGCGCATCGCTGCTCCCTTAGAGGTCCGATCTGCGAAAGAACCGATCGGCTCTCGGCGGATCAGCGCCGAAAATTGGAACTGTCCCTCGGGGTACCATACGAACTGAATCTCTCCCTCTTTGGACGGAGCCCAAGTTCGACGGGGAATCTGCGATCTCGTACCTACCTCACCGACGATTCCTCAGCTCTTCGCATGCCTTGCCGGCTTCTCCAACCGGTTGCCTGTTTGAAACTTTGCAAATATGAATGGATGATCTCTCGAACAGGCTTCCTTCTCTCATTTTTCCTGTCTATCCATCGGTCGGTTTTGACAGCTCGTCGCAGCAACGTCGAAGTCGCGTCGTCTTCCCGTCCCGTGAATGATGCTTTCTCGTCTTCACAGTGGCAGCCTCCGCCACTGAAGCTTCTGTGGCGTTCCCGATTTTTGGTTCGGACTCCGCCATTAGTCCCTTCTCAAGGTCTCCTGCTTGACGTCCGAGCCCGAGTCTCGAGCTCACACACCACACCCGGCTCGAAGTGTATCAAAACCTCCGATGGAGTCAACGTCCCGCTCCGCATGCAAGCAAGTGAGCCGGCTCGTTCGTCTACCGAAGAATGAGCCGGCTAGAGTAAGGGCGTGAGCTCGAGCCTGTGCGTTCATCAATTTCAGCAAAGCTCCAATAAATCAAAGGTTTTCATTTGGCGCCGCCGGGCGGGGGCACTGCAATCTGATGGCGAAACCACTGCGCAACTGGCCATCCAGTCGAGATTGCAATCCAATGTTTGGATATTCATACTTTACGGATCACAGTCGAACACGCGTTCCCTGAGCCCAACTTCCGGCCAATCGAAGCTTCCTCGTTCGCAAACTGGGAAGCATCTCAGAGTGGAAAACGTCGTCATAAATTGAGGTCATACCCTCCACCGGCTGGCTT